TTGGAGGCGACTATGTTTTTTTATAGTTAACATTTTTAACTGAATTAACATAATAACGACCTTTACATATAATAATAAACATTTCCACATATCATCTCCGATGTCCACCAGACTCACAGTTGCGCGATATGTCAGCTGTTTGGGATTCCCCTCTGTTCTTCTGATTGGCTATCTGTCACAATCAGCAGGTCGTATTCTCGTTCCCAGTCAGGGTAAACCCCACAGGCTGCGATAAAAGGGCCAAGACGACCCAAATTGGGCATATTCAGGATTTAGCGGGAACACCAACATGTAGACACCTGATCTGACGGTTCACGGTCTGAAGTAAATGCACAGAGAGCCGAAACAGAATGAAAATAAGAATCTAAACGCAAAGCAACATAAACCATAACAACAATGTGTTTAATGTAACTTTAACAACCAAATAAAGTCTTTCAATAATCCAGCAGCTGTTACCTTAAACACATTTCCAGAATAAAGACTTTTCTGTTTAACCAGGACAAAGAAAAACTGCTGCAGGTTTTATTTCACCAGGTTAAGCAGCAGCTGCTGCTGTCTGAGTCCTGACCAGAACCAGGAACATGGATTAGTTCACAGCAGCTTAAATTGCTACAGTGGCTCCTGTGTGTAACAAGCTGATCATCCATAACCAACTGGTGAGCAAAACTTCTCAACCAACTGAGAAAAATTAGACAAATTCAGCTTAAAGCTCTGATCTGTTCAAACCTCTGGAAAGTAATTCTGAGATGAACTCAACAGTTAAACTGATCAGTTGGTTTCAAAATCTACCATGTTTTTATTTAATACAAATCAAGGAATGGTGATTGTACTGAAAGAAAAGGCTCATTTTGAAACTGTAGTTTTATACAATTTAATAATTAATTCATGTAGGCTTGAAACAAAACAACAATCTTAATTTCATTGCTTATTAAGTTTATTGATGCCAAAAAATACGTAGAATGGCTGACAATGATTCATCTGGATCTAAATAAACTTTAAATTAGAACATTGTTAATAAAATATTTCATGTTCTTCATAAAAATTACATACGGTACGTCATGCAGACATATGATTGAGGTATTACGGATAAAATCCCTGTAAGTCTAGTAATTTCTCTGTTTACAATAATTTCCATATTTATTAACTGACATATAGCAGTAAAAACCCAGCAGGTTAGTATGGATGTAACAGCAGATAGAAATGATGCTGCTGCAGCTTAAAATGAAGCTTTTGTTTGTTTTTGATACGTTTCAATCAAATACATGAATCTTTACAAACTAACAAACTGACTCAGCAGTTAGTTAGTTAGTTAGTTAGTTAGTTAGTTAGTTAGTTAGTTTGCACCAGCTGTGAAAACTCCTCCAGTCCCAGAGGACCAGAGTTAAAAGCCTCCATGATGTTCTGGTTCATTACTACAAGCAGCAGTAAAAACCCAGCAGGTTCTCCCCATTTGTCTCTCTAATCTTGATGTTTTCATTCATTTTAACATGATTTAGGAGAATAATTAAGTTCAGTGCACAACAAGTAAATTATCACTGGTGAAAAATAATAACTTTCTGAACATACAGTATAAAACTAAAAGGCCTGAAATGTACCAGAAATATTCTGCATGACTCCCACTGATTACATTAGAGTCTAAATTAAAAAGCAGAAGTGAAGCTGAAGCTCTGTGTCAGATGCCTGGTAACGTTGTACTAACAATACTTTATAGTTTTTCAGTTTCCTTCCTGTGTTTAGTTTGAAAAGGCTTAAGAACGGGGCAAAGGTTTACATCTTTCCACCTCAGCCCTGATTTCTCCAACTTGGACTCCATGATACGTTCCAGTCATAATGACTGATCTGGTCTCTCCGTCTTCATAGGTTCGCTTCAGGCGGGCGGTGAAGGGAATGTCCATCCTGTACTGATAACCAACCATCTTTACTGTGCAGCTGTGGTTTGGTGGTACGGTAAGCTGTATCGACACAGAATGGGAGATCTCCTCTGTCCAGGTATTTCCACCTGAGAACGTATGAGTCGTCTCCGCATTGATTTCAATATTTCCTTCCACAATGCCAGGAATTCCTGTTTTGATGGTCGTTCTTACACCGAATGTGACGGAGGAGCTGATGTCCCACCGTCTCTCATCTGTGGTCGTCTTAGTCAGAGAAACTGTTTTGGTCACATCACTGAGGCCATGGTTGACAGTAGTGGAGCTTTGGAGGGTTTTTGGAGGAGCTTTCAAGATTGTAGCTTGATTTGTGTGGTACCTGACATCAGAGATGAGATCTTTGTCAGCCTTCATCTGAGTCAGAACCTCATACTTCTTGTAACAATATTCCTTCCCCTCCCAGGGAAGATAAAAGAGGCGACTCTTTGGGTCAACCTTCCCCAATCCGTACTTGTTCTTCCCTACATACATTTCCTCACTGGAGCAGGTTCTGACTGAATTCTGTGGAACAGAACCATAAGAACCTTCCTTCCACTCCAGGATCTCAAAATTATCTTCATTCACAAGGACTTCAAAAGAGGAGGAACGATGCTCTTTCTTTTTATCGGGATAATGGCAGTAAGGGCCTTTGCTGGGGTTGTAAAAACCAGAATGACATCCGACCTTGCAGACGTAGTCGATTCGTTCTTCATAATTATTGTAAATAGAAACGGCTCCATTTGGAGGGGAACCCTCCCATGTGGCCCACTGCAGTTTTTCTGTGTTACCGAACTCTGGGAGCATCGAGTTGACTGGGATTTTCTGTCTGAACGGAGCAGAAGAAGGCAAAACACGTCTAACTGTTGAGAAGGAGATGATTTTAGCAACACCGTCTGACACATCTGGGTTCCCGGAAGGAACTGTAAAAGAAGAAGATTATTTTTAAACTCTATTTTTATTTAAGAGTATCTCTGCTTCTGTGCTAGCAGTAACATACTTACTCCAACAACAGCTCTACAGAAACATGTTTTAAAAAAAGAAAGAAGATGTGAAATTGTTAAAAGATATTTCCCCTTACAGTTTTCATCTGGTGGTCGGTTCCTCTCCAGGTCCAGAGGACTGGCTGAAGGCAGAAACAGCAACAACAGCAACTAAAAGGAGCAGAAATAAAATTATTATTAGTTATAGTAAAGATCTGCTTTAATGGAAACAGCAATTTAACCATTTAGTTGTGACTCTCAAAATGCCTACAAATAATCAATGGGTAATTTGTGATCTAAATTACTAGTTTTATTAATAGTTGCCATAAGCAAGGTTCCCAACAAAAAGTACTAAAGCCTGTTCTGTCAGTGGAAGGATGTTAGAACTGAATGATGTAGAACTGGTTGATGTAGAACTGGTTGATGTAGAACTGGGTGATGTAGAACTG